AAAATTTGACCAGATAGTCTTAATTCTCTGGGCAGCCTCTCTGCTCCTTGGTCTTTTATAAATGCTCTAGAACTTTCTGGCAGGAAAAAAAATGGAACTAGAACCTTACCCTGAAAAATGATCAAGATAAACAAAAATAATTATAATGAATTATATATCAAGATAATGAAAATAAAAATGTATACTATATACAGTTAAAATGAACTATAATTCATATCTAAAGAGATACTTAGAAGTGTTAGACATTAATACTCTGTCCCTTTTAGAAGCCATTCCACCAGAGAAAAACCTGTACAAATGTCAACATGTCCACATCCAAACTGAGATGAATGCTCCTCATTATTTTCAGGTTTCTTATTCTCTCATACAGCATACAATACAATCATGATACATACAAGGTGATACATTAAAAAAAGATCGCATCACTAGAGCACTATCACAGAATGAATGGATACCATTAAAACAACTCCTGTATGTTAGTGGGATGAATGCTGCTTGTGGGTAAGGATGAAAAACAAAGCTACTGAGTACTGGAGACAGAACAGCTCCACCCAGAGTCTGCAGCAACATTCTACTCCCACTGGGTTATTATAAGAAATAACATAAGCTTTGGGGATCTCATTTTCATTTCATTACAGAACCCATTTATCAATTAAGCCACTTCCTTCATTTCATTACCAGATGGTTACATTTTCCAAGGTGACAAATGGGAATCAGGCTCTACTTCCTTCAGATGCTGGCATCCTTTAATATTCAGGGCCTGCCTTTTGCTCTTTCCCAGGGAAATTCAAACACACACCCATACAGCTTCAGCCATTATCCAGATGCCAAAGACTTTCAAACCCTCCTTCCCCAAATAGACTAGCATCTCTTGAGTGCTAGGTCTACTAGACTCTGAATGTATCACCTGCATTTAACCTCAGTGTATACCTAACTGAACTATTCTCTCTCTCCCCAGCACTGCCCCACCAAGTGTCCCTAAATTGGTGGCAATTCCACCTATCCACCCAAAGAGCCCAGCTGGAAACCTGGATCATTCTTCACTCCTCCCATTTAGTCAGTTGCCAAATACTATCAACCCTAACTTTATGTGTCTCTTAAGACTGTCTCCAATTCTCTATCATAACTCCTGCTACCTTACATTATTTCCATGTGGACCACCATTATATCTATAGCTCTCCTGGCCTCCACTCTATATCCTATATGTCTTGTCATCACAGCACTTGTTATTCTGCCTCATAAATGTTGCTTATTTATATGTCTCTTTGAGTTCTTGGAATACAAACAGTGTCTTGTTTCTTTCTATTCTCAGCATTTACCATCATGTCCCACATGGAATATGTGTTCCATCAACATTTAGTAAACGAACAAACAACTCCTGGGCCTTCAGAGTCCATGATACCAGACATTATAGGAAGTGAGATGAGTTCACCAACAAAACTCCTGCTCACCAACACTTATCTTCTCATTGTGAAGTCACTGTATTTGTTCAGCTCTTGTGTAAAATGTTCAGTGTCCTCTTTCTCCCTATTTTCGAAACCTATTTTTAGCAAAAAGAGTTCATCCCTGCTTTTTATTCTCACAGGTGTTGGCATCTTAGACCTTTCTTTCTAATTGTGGAAAGCAACATCTGCCCCCAATCAAGAAATAGGAGGCTTTGTCAACATGCTATATGAGTGAAGGAGAGCAGAGTAGGCAGGAAAAGAGAGAATTCCAGGGAGAAAGCCTGACCCAGCCCTGAAACCAAAGTCAGAACTAGAATATGCCACTTACGCATTCAGCCAGCCCTTGACCAAAAGCCCAAGCTTGTGCTCCCTACCCTAAATCCTCTATTTCAAGCATTAGCTTGCCATTTGAATTCTAGATGTAACAGGAAGAAAATGAAACTGTTGTTTTAGAACTCAGCTGCAGTCTGGGTCACTTGGGCTAGGAGGAAGACAGCATTACCCAGGGAGAAGACTGCTGTTTCTGGGTAAACCATCCTAATGGACTCTAGAGCCCTGATCTGATTAAGCTGGAAAGGAGAAGGGTCTTTGTAGAGAGAGGAAGACCTACCAAGATGGTGGCAGATGAAATTCTGAGTAAAAATAAAAAATAGCACTGGTTCAATCTCTGCTCAACTTTTCTATAAACCTAAACTCCCCTAAAAATTAAGTCTATTTATTTAAGAAAGAAAGAAATGGACCTAGACAATGAAAAGTTTCTTGTGCTGAGAGGTCCTGAGAATATTAGGGCAGCTGTTGTGCTACAACCTCCCACTGCTATCTGTGCTACAACCTCCCACTGCTATCTCAGACCTTTAGTAAAGTCTGCTGAAAATAGCTACCTTGTATAAGTTGTATTTTGGAAAATGGAGGAAGAAGAATAGTGTCCAGTGTGGAATAAAGCAATGAAAAAGGCATAGTACTCACAAGGGGAGACCAAGAATTTGACACTGGCAAGGCCTTGGAGCGAGAGGGGACCGACCACAAGAATGTGAACGTCAAGGAATCTTTAGAATTGTGCTGTCCAGTACAGTAGCCACTAACCACATGTGGCTACTGAGTGCTTGAAATGTATCTAGTTCAAATTGAGATGCATTATTTAGCTAGTATGAAAAAAAAGAATGTCAAATATCTCAATTTTTATAATACATGATGAAATATTATTTGGGATATATAAGGTTAAATGAAATAACCTTAACAAAAATTAGACTAACAAAAATTAATTGCCCCGTCTCTTTTTATTTTTTTAACATAGTTCCTAGAATATTTAGAATGCCATACATGGCTTGCATCATATTCCTGTAGAACAATGCTACTCGGGAATCTTAGGAAAAGTCGTAGACATCTCACAGCATAAGGCATGGGGAGCCTTTTAATAAACCTCTTCCTCCAGTTATTAAAAAAAAGGGTTACCCCAGAAAATTGACACACAAGGCAGGAGCCATCAACAGATTAAGTGTGAGAAAAAACACATTTACAAGAATAGAGGACACACTGATTTTAATAATGTTTTGTTAAACTGAAAAATAAGACCTACAAATAGAAACTGCTCTTAAAATAAGATTCAATTTAAACAAAAATTCAACTTTTCAGGAACACATTTATAGCATGAAACAAGGTATAGGATACAACTTTCTAACATGAGTAACTTACACCTGGTTGTTAGATTTAAACTAGAAGAGAAAAAAAAGCCAGGAACCTTTCATCCCACTGGGGATAAATGAATGTGTATTCTAATACCTCAATGTGTTCAATAAGGACTCTCCAGGTCTAAGACTAACACTTCATACATTCAACTAGAAATATAAAATACATACAGGGCTGCAGTCATCTAATGACTGCATTTATTTCATGCTGATTCTATCCCATGAGACATGTCTCAGGAAATTTATGAGAAAAAAATAAAGTATAATGCTGACCCCAAGTTCGCTAAACTGGATAGAACAGAAAAAAAAAAGAGAGAGAGAGAGAGAGAGAGTCTTTTTTTTAATATCTGGAATACTAAGAAGTTCTAATTCTGTACTTCTAGGCTTCTGGCTCCTATATTATACTCACATATATGGTTTTATGTATGTATATGTGTGTGTGTATATTTCAGATTTCATATATATACATGAAATCTGAAAGCTTCAGACTTGGGGTGACTTAAGTGTCCTGTGGTCTAGTCCCTTTATTTTATACATAAAGACACCGAGTCACAGAGAGACAAGTAACTTGCCTGTGATCACACAGTTGCTTAATGGCAAGGCAGGACTCAAGTCACATGGCATGGCAATACAGCATTCTAGGTGTGACTATAATATTTCCTGATGACCAACTTGGCTTATGTGAAAACTCAGACTTATCATAGTTACTCCTAGGGGTTTTCAGGAGGATTAAATAATCTCTCTAAGATGTATATACAGCATTTGTAACCTAAGTCATGCTTTGAGCACTGAGCTAATTTGAGGGAGTTGAGCTCACATCCTCCCTCCTCCTCTTCCTTCTACCTCTCACCCTTGCAAGTGTCCTTCCTCCTGAAAAGTTTATGCTCAGTGATAGGAGTAGTTGTGGACTCCAGAAAAGGATCCTTCCTCCTTTTTCATGTATGTAAAGGTCACTAGGCAACCTGGTGTCTACCTGAGAGCTTTCCTGGCCATGGATGAGTGGCTTAGGCTGGCCATGCTGAGTCTTTGTGAACGAGGACACTCAAAATGAAACCCAGTTTCTAGGAATGAAGGTACTTAGCATGTGCAGGATTCAGAGTAAAGTTACAAGCAAGCTCAGAGTCCTCTTCCCTCCTTCAACCCCATCCTGAGCTACCCAAACATGTCCTCAGCTCAAGCAACCTGTTTCTCAAACACACAAAAACCACTCTTCTTTCTCTTTTTCCCTAGTCAGTCATGCCCTGGCTCTGGAATAACAGGTCAGCATATTTCATACCAAGATGCCAACCTTTATAGACCCATTCAGGGGGGCTTGTTAGTTAATGGAAATCAATCTCAAAGCAGTATTTCTTGGATGGAAGGCATGTTTCTGTTTGGTGGCCTCCTGAGAGTTCTTGCTTAATTCTCATGTCTCAATATACACACACATGTGCCCACACACACACACACAAATACACACAGAGGTGCCAGTGACTTGGCATCCAATCATACAAGTTTTCCATCCTCCTATAACTAATGGATGTCAGGACAAGGTAACGTTGTGGTAGGAGTCCCTCATTTCAGAGGAAAAGAAAGATAAGGAACAAAACACAGACTGCATTTTACTGCTTTTCCACAGTGTTAGTCTTTCCTACCAGTAGAAGGGACTTCAGCAAGTACCCAAAGGCCTGTGAACCACTGGTTTTGGGGAAACTTGCTCTCCTCCTAGAGTCTAATCAAATCCCAAACCAGAAGTAAAGGATTCCAGGGCTTCTGAGAGCATTCACTTATCATCTGGCGACCCAGTATGGAGTTAAGGGGATGGAGTGGATCCCACAGCAAGCACCCCACTGTGACATGTCGCTAAGCCAGGATGCTGGAGACACCATACCTTTGCAGGTGAAACATTTGATGTGGAAATGCTTGGTCTGGACCCGGAGCACTTCACCCTTGCACGGCTCCCCACATTTATGGCAGTGAATGACAGGTTTCTCTGATGGGTGATGAGGATCCTGAGGGTGGGCCACTGAAAGAAAAAGCAAGATCCAGGTGAGTAGAACACATTCCTACAAAAGGGGCCGTTATGGGGATGCATCAATATCTCTGTAATTTTGGGGTCAACTGAGCCACACACATTGACCGATTCAACAGCATGAACTGAGCATTCCCTCAATTCCCCCTGCCCCCTGCCATGGCATAATCCTGGGACACACATATCAATTAAGACACCTGTGGCTTCAACACACCAGCGAGGAAAACACTGGGCTTGCTCCTCTGTGGAACCTGCTGTCTTTTCTCTTCCTCCCCAACTTCTCCAGAATGACATAAATAGACCATTGAATATACAATCTTGTTTGGTCTGATGTTTTGCAATACATCAATATTTGTAATATGTCTTTACCTTGATTTAGAAAGCATCTTTCAGCAGCTCACCATAGACTGTAAGTCCCCTGAAGATGGGGACCATGCCTGAAAGCCCCTCTTTTCGTCTCCCCAGTTGTACTTCTCCTTCCTTCCCCCAGCTCCTGGGGACGCAGCAGAATGCTCACACACCAAGGGAGCTCAGTCAATGTTTATTTACTTATTAATTAGTATGTGCTGGATAGTTTCTATGCTACTTTACCAGAGAGCCGTTTCTGATCTTAATTTGGCAACTCATTTAACCTGTTGGAGGTCTATTTTGAGCCCCCTATTATGTGCACAGTTCCTAATACACACACTGCAGGCAACAATTTTTTACAAATAAACTAGGAATCACGTGGATCTCTCTGAACCTCAGTTTCCTTTCCCATAAAACAAATGGGATTAGCTCAGAGGATTTCCAGGGTCTTTTCGAACTCTAGAACCACACACGATGGGGCTTTACAGGGATTGTTTCTCTCTGAAGACTGTGGTCTTCAAATGACAGAAGTTACCACAACTGCCCAGCCTTGGGGCTCGGATGCACAGTCTCTCCTTGCCAGAGGCCCAGAGAGAAGGCAGGAGGAGGACACCCATGGCTCTGAGTTCACCAAATGTCTTCATCTGACTTGCAGTTTCTCCAGTCAAGAATGCAGATAAGCACTTTTGCTGTCAAATGTATTTTTTTGATTTGGTCCTCAGAAGGAGGAGCATGTGGTATACAAAGACAATTACTTAAGTAACTACATGAGCATTATATGAGACAAGAACAGTGAACCTAAAATTAATTAAACACCACAAAGATGACTTTTTTTTTCTCCAAAGGTAAAACTGGGTTGGGCAGGGGGGAGATATGGGCAGATATTGCTGAAACTCAACTCAGAAAGCACCTTGCAGCAAGGAGCTCACTGTGCACCACAAGTATAATAGTTCATTGTGTTCCTTTAGGACCTCAGTAATGTTCTCATTTTGCCTGGAAAGAGTTTGAACAAGGCAGTCCAAATAATCCATTACTGGCTAAGTTCTGAGAAACAAGGTTCTTCTTGTGAGATTTTGACTAGGAACTGGTATAGTTTCAGGTTAAACACCTGACTGCATTCTTTGCAAATGGACCCTGGGAGCGACCACAAAGATACCAAGGTTGCAATTCATCTACATTTCCTTATCTACCTGCTGGAATCTCACTTGAAAACCTGTATTTACAACAGAATTCAGTACTATCTAAAGGAGCAAGGAAAGGCATGCTATCAAGATCTCTGAACAACCACTGACTTCTAGAGTGAGGTGTAACAAGGCCAAAAATTGATCACATGGGCATTAAGAAAGTTTCCCTTGACAATATCTGCTTCAAGTGCCAGTGAAGAATATGTGAGGCTGTTTTTTGTTTGTTTATTTATGAGTAGGAGTTTCACTCTGTTGCCCAGGCTGGAGTGCAGTGGCATGCTCACGGCCATCGCAGCCTCGATCTGCTGGGCTCAGGCGATCCTTCCACCTCAGCTTTCCAAATAGCTGGAACTACAGAGGCGTGCCACCATTCCCAGCTAATTTTTTTATTTACTGTAGAGATGAGGTCTTGCCGAGGTTGGTCTTGAATCCCTGAGCTCAGGGAATCTTCTCACCTTGGCCTTCCAAAGTGCTGGGATTATAGGTGTTTGTTTTTTAAGATCAATTCCTGCTTCCTATAAGAATGGGGAAAGTAATAATTATTGGGTATCTACTAAATGCCAGGCACGGTGCTAGGTGGTTAGCCATAAGTCACTTCATTCCATCCTTATCACCCCTCTCTCTCAGTGAAGCAATATTATTCTTATTTAAAAGATGAGGAAATAGAGTCTCAGAGAAGTTGGACAACCTGCCTAAGTAACAGTTAGTGGAAGCTCAAAGATCAACACCCAGGCCAGTCTGACTCCTAAGCTCATGCTCCTCCTATGCTATTTGCATAAATCAGAAAACTGTTGCAAGTCGATCATAATTATTGCCTGTAATCATTATAATTATATTTATAATTTAATGAATATAGCCAAATTCAAGTGCAGTTCTAAAAGCAGCAGCTAGGGCTTGGCTTATAAAGGAAACATATACAGCAATAAGGCCTCACAGCTGGGCACACAGCCAGCTGACAAGCATCTAGGCAGCTCTGTTAATCCTCCAAATCAGAACCCCTTGTGACGCACATTAAAATCACAGGTTCCTCAGCCCCCTGAACTAGAAGTGGGAATTACTAGCTTTTTTCTGAGCTATTTCCCTTTAGAATTCAGACACCTGACTAGCCAGCTACAGAGAAGAGTTAAAATTTTAAAAGTAATTCACAAGGCCATTCTCTTCAGCAACAACATGAGAACATTCACTTCGGCAACAATATGAGAACATAGTGGACCTCCTGACTCTAAGGGAGAATGCATTTTTGGATACGAAACTGCACTGCAGTTTCTCTTGATGCTTGAATTTCTTAGTGCTAAGCAAGCCAGCTGTGCTGAGTAATGATGAGGAAAGGAATATATCATTTCACTTCTTGGCTTTTCTCTACGTCGGAATAAAGGAGCCAGTGCCAATGCTGGCACCAGTCACAGAGGTCAGAATTGGGATCAGCATCTGCATTCTGCAAGAGTTTCCCTTTGGAAATATATATTACACCACAAAGTCCAGTCCTCCATGTCCAGAGATGACTTTTGCTTTCACTCAGAGATGAGCAGGGACTATATTGGGTTTATTTGCCTTTCCTACATACAACAGCACAGGCAGTCACAGATCAGAACAACCCATTTGTGAAGAAATGGGCTTTTCTTATTCGAGAATGACAGCATTCAAAGATCAAAATAGAGTCGATGTTTATTTCATCCCAATTAAAGTCAGTGTAAACAAAAGAATCTTTCTTCTTTTTAAAGACGAATAATGAGGTTCATTTTACATAACTGTCTTTGACAGTTTGGTTATTACCAAACATATGTTTGTTGGCTTAATTCTGCAATTTTGAAATATGCTAAGTCAGTTGCAATACAGACGTGACATTAATTGTGCACTCTCCTTATTTGCCAGGAGGCTCTGATGCTAATATTTACTTACTTGTTCCATCTTTCAAAGCCTGGGCGATTCCTGTGTATTCTACTGATAGGGAAACTGAGGAGCAAAGTGCTTACATTCCTTGCCCAAAATCACCAGTGAGTTATTGACAGAGGCACACTTAGCACTCAGGCATCCCAGCGCCTTCCACTTTTCCAAGTAGTCAATGATTTACCCTTGTTAAAACCTTCCATGGCTCATCAACTTTGAATAAGAAGCATATGATAAAAAACCAGACACATGGATACACACTTTCTGAATAATGAGGACATACATCTTAATAAAGAGTCAAGAGTCTGTTTGTCTGAAAAAGGAAAGGAATTCCTACACTGTAAAATATCCAGTTTGGAGGCATTCTGGGTACTGAGATGAAGCAGTTGATTGCAAGGCTAGCTGAGGAACTTTACACTGTCTTTCACAATCAAACAAAGCAGGTCGGCCATATCTCTGAACTCCAGTGCAGGTCAGAAAGCAAAAATTCAATTTTGGATGTTTTTACTTTTGAAATGCCTACTAAATATCTCAGGCAATGAGACTGTCAGATTGAGACCAGTAAAGAAAACTCAGCAACCTTCAGTGTCCTCAAGCAGAGGCCATAACAGGTCGTACACAAGGCCACAAGGCTTAGACAGAGCCTTTCCTTCAAATCAGAACTAGCCTTGTCTTGACCAAGTTACTCTCTGGGGGACAGACCATGGAACCAGACCACCAGAAACAAGACATCTGAGAAAGGACATTTGAAATAGAAATCTCCTTGTCAATAAATATCACAAACCTGTGACAGAGTACTAATAGTTGTAACTTGCACTGAGTTGTCTGCAATATTCAGTCTCCCAGGTAACACACAAATTCCCTCTCTTAACTCCCTTTCTCTCTCGGTAGCACCATCACTCCCTTATCCACATGCGTTTGAAACGGCACAATGCTTGATGACTTCCAAAGCCCTTCCATCTGCTCTATCTCATGTCACTCTCACAAGAGCTCTCAGGTAGGAAGAGGAGGTACGGTTAACCCCTTCTCCTAGAAATGAGCCGACTGAGGCTTAGAGGAATGAAGAGATTTGCCCAAGGTGGTGCAGCCAAGAAACAAAGAGTTTGCAGTAACCTTCTGCCAAGACTTCTAATCCGGAATAATCTTTACACCAGAATAATCCCCTAATCACTGACCTGACGTTTGAAACCTTGCAGTCATCATTGTCTCCACCCTCTCTTTCACTTCCCACTAAATGCTGGCCACCCTTACATTCCTTACTCATCCGTTCTCTCACTCTACTAATCCAGGACCTCACCCATTTTCACAGATTGCTGAGTTTCCTACTCCCTGGCTCTTTTTTCTCCAGTGTAACCTACAAAGCATAGTTGACTTGAGGAGGTGGAGCGTAACTCCCCACTCCTGAAGTGTGGGCTGTGCACGATGGTTTCCTTTCAAAGAATACAGTATGGCTAGGAAGAAAAAAAAATGAGTAACTTTAGGGAAATGTGACACACACTACATCAGTCAGGTAATCAAGGTCAACATCACCAGTGATAATTCATATTAAGAGACTGTATCTTTGATATGATGTGAGGAAAATGGGTATTTTGCCTCTGTGGTCTTCCCCCCAAAAACCCCATAATCCTAGTCTCATCATGAGAAAAATCCCAAATTGAGGGACATTCTACATAACAGTATTCTTCAAAATTATCAAGATCATTAAAAACAAAGTCTGGAAACTGTCACAGCCAAGAAGAGCCTAAGGAGACGTGATGACTAAATGTAATGGAGGAGCCTGGATGGGATATTAGAACAGAAAAGGGACCTTAAGTAAAAACTAAGAAAAATTCGAATAAAGTATGACCTCTGTTCATAATAAAGTGCTAATATTGGTCTAGCAATTGTAACACATGTTAATGTAAGATGTTACTAATAGGGGAAAATGAATGTCTGATATATGGGAACTCTGAATTACCTTCTCAGTTTTCTATTAATCTAAAAGTCTTTGGGAGGCTGAGGTGAGTGGATTGCCTGAGCCCGCGGGTTCGAGACCCGCCTGGGCAGCGAGACCTCATCTCTACAATAAATTAAAAAAGCAGCCAGGCGTGGTAGCACGCGCCTGTAGTTCCGGCTACTCGGAAGGCTGAGGCGGAAGGATCGCCGGAGCCCAGCAGGTCGAGGCTGCAGTGGCCGGGAGCAGCCACTGCACTCCAGTCTGGGTGACAGAGTGAGACTCCAACTAAAAAAAAAAAGTAAAGTTTATTTTAAAATGAACAAGAACAAAATCAAAAAACTTTCAATGGCTCTCCTGGTCCCAAGTCATCAAGTCTGCCTACTTTCAGAGATCTTCAATAACATGGCTCACGCTAGTTTTTCAGACATTTAAGAGGGAACTACATTTGCTGAGTACTTATCACTGTGTTAAGTGGTTTTGAACTTGGGTAGTCTGACCCCAGAGACTGAGCGCTAAAATGCTCTACCCTTTGTTTGTATTAAAATACAAATCTCCCTTGACCTGGGCCTTATGACCACTTCCTGGTCTAGTATCTTTTTTTCCCAAAAATGCTTTCACTCTGTTGTAACCCTTTTTGGGAATAGTTTCTCTCCTCTCCACTTGTTCAAATTAAATCAGACTTACAAGGCCTAGCCCAGATCCTTATGATTCTCTGAACTTTCACTGTGGCTTAGAGATTGGTTATTTCCTTCTCCTCCATGTCCTCTGGCATTGACTATCTTCACCATCACCCAGCACTTGATTTTCTTTTCCTTTATGTTTATTTTGCTTTTGTTTCACAATGAATCAATCCTGTTCCTACAACACTGCAAGCTCAGTGGTCAATTCCTCCAAATTTCTGAAATAGTTCTGACTTCAAATATCAAATAACCCGAGTTGTCATCTCTGTACTTCTCAGTACAATTTTTTGAATAGGGAAAACAGGGTTACCAGCCAACACCACTTTTGGGGCATCTTCCACAAGAAGCTATAGAATCCTGAACTTCCAACATCACAATAAATAACTAGAGAACACTATTATATTATTACAAGTAAAATGTATTGAACACATAACTATGCTCCAGGCACTGTGATAATTAATATATACTCATAATCACAAATAATCCTCATAGCTGCCTTCTGGGATACTGCTGTATAATTCCTGATTTGCAGAGGAGAAAACCGAGGCTAAGAAGAGTTAAATACCTTGCCCAAGATCACACAGCTAAGACGTAGTGGTCTCCAAAGTCCATGCTTGGAAGGCCTGTGTAAAAGGTTTCCACTGGAAAACATTCTCCAGCATGGAAGGAAATAAAGTTAGTACAATGTATTCACTCAGTTCTGATTACACAGCTCAGAAGGAGCTGCATTATCATTCCATAGGTAACACCTCTAGTAAATAAGCAGATGGGAAAAATACTTAAAATATAGAAAGAAATTATTCCAGGATGGAGTCATTTACGGGAAAAGAATACTTACAGAGTAAGAGTGAGACAGTAAGGAAATGCAACCTGCCATCAGGGAACCCTCTCTGCTGCCTCCAGCCTAAGAAGAGGCCTGGATTGGTCATCTGACTCTGGTTGGAGTATGTCTGGATCTGAAAGCACAAGATGATCCTCTGCATGGTAAGGTTGATTTCTGCTTCAGGACTGGAATCCTATTCTCACGGAAGCCTATGTTTCAGAGAGGCTGCTTCCTTACCTAGACTATTTTCTCTGCTTCTACCCCATTAGTTCTCACTGAAGTGTAAACACACATCACAAAGACGTGCTCTCCCCTACCTCCTACTCCCTTTCTTTGTGCTAGAATGGCGCTAGTATTGTGCCTAGGAAACAAGAAACACAAGACTTCAAATAAATGCACAGAACGCTTAATTTGCAGTTTACTTAAAAGTCTATTTCCTGCTGTGGCAAGTGGTAGTTACTTGAAGCTACACACACAGTCAACCTGTCATTAGTTGTCCAAAAGCTTCTTCTCTTGAATTGGTTTCCACAACCTAATTTTCTTATACCATGTGAGTTTGGTAATCAGCATTATTATTTGGCACAAACACTCCCGGAGGGCGGGCAGTATGAGAACAGGTTTCCCTGCCACTGTGGCTCTCTGCTCGTGATGCCCAGATACTTGATTTGCCTTTTCTGTGGCAACACGATAGGTCTTAGCTATTCCTCCAAACATAAAAGACATTGTCAGCAACTCATCAGCTGGACTCCTGATTACAGAAACAGTCTCTGCTCACTTCCAGGTAATCTGACTCCCCCAAGGCAAAGAAGTACTAGGATTATCATGGTTCAGTCAGGAAATTTCCTCTTTGTAAATCATTTGATGCACTTGCCCCGATGTGCTACACTGGCCTTCTCTATGTGAAGGTTAATCTTAGAAAGGCATTTTAAATTGCCTTGGTGCCTTCTCCTCCTCCTCATAAGAGTGACTCCTGCAACACACCTTTTGAGATGACTCACTAAGCCAGCACCCTTCTTTGACCTTCCCTAGCCTTTCTCTGACTGTGTTCAGTCATTTATATACAAGTCCTAACTCTTCTCCCTAAGTAATTAGAAGGGACCTCAGACTAGAAGTTAAGAGACTTGATTCACAGTCCTGCCTTTCCTGTCACGTGCCTCAACCTCCCTGAGACTGTGAATGCATGCCCTACCTCCCAGGGTGGCAGTGGTAGTGGTAGTGAGGCCATCTCCTCCTGGAAGCCTGCTATGATTTGAACGCCCACTCCAAAATCATGTTGAAATTTAATTGCCATTATAAGTGTTAAGAGGTGGGACCTTTAAGAGGTGATCAGGTCACAAAGTCTCTGCCCTCATGAAAGGATTAATGCTGTTATGGCAGGAATGAGGCAGTTGTCACAGGAGTGGGTTCTGATGAAAGGATCAAGTTCGGCCCCCATCCTCTCTGTCGTACATGCTGGTTTGCCCTTTCACCTCCCACCATGGGATGAAACAGCAAGAAGGCCCTCATCAGATGCGGTCCTTGGACCGTGGACCCTAGCCTCAAGAACTATAAGATATAAACCTCTTCTCTTTACAAAGTACCCAGTCGGTGGTATTCTGTTATAGCACACAAAATGGACTAAGACAGAGCCCTAGCAGCCCCAGCCTGGCACACAGATGCCTGTGTCAGCTGGCTGTCAGGAAAGAGTGTCACCATGTGAACAGAAATTTCTGAAGCATTACAAAAATCCCTTCTGAAATTTGACTGAAACTTATAAGGTCACCCAGGCATCTCAATTTGTCTCTACCCCAGCAATTCCACTTAAAATGGATCAAGTCAACCGGGCTCGGTGGCTCAGCCTGTAATCCCACGCCTTTGGGAAGCTGAGGTGAGTGGATTGCCTGAGCCCGCGGGTTCGAGACCCGCCTGGGCAACTTGGCGAGACCTCATCTCTACAATAAATCAAAAAATCAGCCGGGCATGGTAGCGTACGCCTGTAATCCCGGCTACTCGGAAGGCTGAAGCGGAAGGTTCGCCAGAGCCCAGCAGGTCAAGGCTGCGGTGGCCGGGAGCGGCCACTGCACTCCAGTCTGGGCGACAGAGTGAGACTCCAACTCAAAAAAAAAAAATGGGTCAAGTCAAGCCAATGAGCAGTGGCTTCAGTCTGAACTCTGCTGGCAGAACATCACTTCCTTGTGGACTGTGAGAGAGAGACATCTGTGAGGATTCTGAGAGTGGGAGGACCGTGGTCCTGCTTGAGCCGTTTATGGGAACACAAGTTACGAGAGGGCCTGAGTCTATTAGCATTTAGGTCTAGGGTCCTGAAACAGGGTTTAGCTTAGGCATGGTATCACCATTGCCTTCTACCCCCTAATTCCAAATCCAGACATTGCAGAGAGGTTTATAAAAAACCCCAAAGAACGAAGATGTTGACTAAAGTGTCCCTGTTTGGTACAACCCTGTCTGATAAGTTCAGGAAGCCTCCCAGCTGTCTCTGCCTTTTCTTTTTGGTTGCTTCTACTTATATCCCTGGATGCAATTGGAATCATTAAATGGTTAAAAATAGCATTTCAGACAAACTCCTGAAATGGTTAATAAGTGTTTGGCACTTCACCATTTATAAAAGTTGTTCAAAGATAATAACTCCCATGATCCCATCAACCCCAATTATTCTCATTCTCCAGGTATGAGAATTTAGCTTCAATTTTTTTTTTTTAAATTTAGAGACAGGGTCTTACTCTGTCATCCAGGCTGGAGTGCAATGGTGTGATCATAGCTCACTGCAATCTTGACCTCCTGGGCTCAAGTGATCCTTCTGCCTCAGCCTCTTGAGTAGCTGGGACTACAGGCACTCAGCTAATTTTTTATTTTTTAGAGACAGGACCTCACTATGTTTCCCAGGCTGGTCTTGAACTCCTGGCCTCTGGTGATTCTCCCGCTCTGCCTCCCAAATAGCTGGGATTACAGGCACAAGCCACCATTCCCAGTTAGCTTCAGAAATGTTAAAGAACTTACTCCAGCAGTGGGGAGCTCTAGTCAGCTGGGGGGAGTCGGCTCTACCCAGCCCTTCCCAACTGTGTGGTCACTGATTTCACCTTGGCAGCTTGAAATTGGCTATGGTGAAAGCAATTTACACCATGGAAATTGGCAGACTTTACAAATCAGGGCCTTCCTCTCCCTGCCCTCTACAGAACTGGTTGTTAAACATTTACCAGCACACCAAGGTTATACTGCTAGTAAACAGCAAAGTGAGGTTTTTAATTCAGGTGCTTATAAATTTCAGAAACATAGGCCAGGCGCAGTGACTCATGCCTATAATTCCAACACTTTGGGAGGCCAAGGTGAGAGGATTGCCTGAGCCCATGGGTTTGAGACCAGCCTGGGCAAACTGGCAAGACTTCATCTCTACAATAAATCAAAAAATTAGCCGGGTATGGTAACACATGCCTGTAGTTCCAGTTACTTTGGAAGGCTGAGGTGGAAGGAACGCCTGAGCCCAGCTGGTAAAGGCTGCAGTGGCTGTGAGTGTGCCACTGCACTCCAGCCTGGGTGACAGAGTGAGACTCCAACTCAAAACTAAATAAATAAATAAATTTCAGAAACAAGAATTTGGACTCTTTCTGAAAAAGCACTCCTGCTCCTGCTCTGTGAATAAATACACAAACTCACTTTCCCCTGGGTCTCTCCAGTGTCTGTACACCCACTGGGGGATGACACACAAGACCTGTGTTCACAGCATCATATCAGACATGATGTTACAAAATCTAGAACTACTCTCTAAATACCTAGGCTCCCGACTCCTCCCAGACCTGAAGTTCAGGTTTATTCAAGCTTTCCATATGACGTAACTTTGCTGGGTGCAACTTTTGCAAGAAAAAGCAAACACATATAATCTACACCTGTCACCTTGCTGGTATTCTTCTATTCATCCAGGTGACAAAAAGCATAATCCTGGTAGTTTAGTCATTATCTTTTTTAACTTCAGGCATGCTTCTGCTTGAATGGAAAGAAGATACTATCTCCTCCTGAATTTCAATAAAGCACTTAGTGAAGTCTATTACCTGAAAAAATATATATTTAAAGTCCAACATGGGACCGGGAGGAGAAGGAAAAGGGAAAAAAATTTTGAAATGCCTCCGTGAAACTCCCAAATGCAACCTTTCAACACTTGAGAATTAATTTCTTAAGATTCATCAAATTTTGACTCAGCTCATGCCTGCAGGGTACGCTGTGTCTGGCCAGGATTGGTGAGGAACTCCAAAGGGGGACCAGCGATCCCACTGACATCCTCCTGCCCAAGCAGGGATCCCAGGCATATGCACAGCACACACGGTAAGCACCCCCACCCAAGGGAGCTGACCAACAGAGAGAAAAATCATTCCTCAGTGGATGCCAGGAGGAGGAGGGAGAAAGAAACAGAATGAACCAGAATGGATGAACATGAACACCAGGTAGAGACAAAATCATGCACTAGAAGAAAAATGTATAACTGAGAGGAAAGAAAAACCAGAAAAATCCTTCAAGAAGGAAGTGACCCTTTAGGGGCAGTACTTAAATGGATAAAAAGGAGGAGAAAGGCATCTTAGAAAATAGGAAGGGTGGGATGGGGTACCGTTGGGGAATATCAGGAAATGTGGGTTGGATAAAGCACTTAGTAAATGAAGGACAGTAAAAGAATACATGACAATGAGAAGTTGTCTCTATGCATCCTTGAAGGACAAGCTAAGGAACTTCAGGGTTCCTCACTTGCCCTTGGGTCGAGGTCTTGAGGTGGCTGATATAATCAAAGTATGGTCAGCATATAATCAGGGCTTTGACAGTTCACAATGAAGGCAAATTCGGAGCCCCTGTGCTACAATGTGACAGGTTGTAGGAAGGGTTTAGCCTCCAGTGGTGAGTGGGCCACAGGATGGGTTCTGGTTAAACCGGTTCTGGTGCCAACCCTGGCTCTGTGACCTTAAGCAAGTTACTTTTCTCTCTAAGCCTCAATTTCCTCTTCTGTAAAATGGGGATAATTCTACTTTGATATTTAGGAGGATAAATGAGTTAATGTATGGGGGGAACACAAAAAAACCTGGAATTATCTTTTGGAGGTTGGGCCCCTTGTAATACACTTGAAATTTGTTCTTCCAGATCAAATGGTCAAACAAAGCTTTTATCTGGAAGTTTTGAAATGGTGACATCTCGATGCTGAAGAAACATTCAGCAAATTGTTGCAACAAACAAGTTGTGGCAAACAAGCAACTGGGTCCTCACGATGACAACACACCTTCCCATACCATGCTAAGTGTTTAGCAGTTTTTAATAAAAAGATGGCATGACCCCTGTGCCCCACCTTCCGTATTCACCCAATCTCACCCTGAAATGTGTTTTTTGTTTCCTCAGATGAAAAAGTCCTCAAAGGGAAACATTTTGCAGTGAAACAAAAAAACAGAAGAAGCACTAAAAGGTACCCAAATCGATGAGTTCAAAAACTTTTGAGCAGTGGAAAAAGCATCACGGTAGGTATATTTTATCAGATGGAGAGTAATTTGATGGGGACTGAAGTTTAAACACGTAAGAATAAATACAAACATACTCAGCACTTTTCTTAACAGAGAGTCTGGAATGTTTCAGTTTGGAAAAGGGGTGGGTCATTGTTTAAAGGCCTTGATCACCATTGTCCACATGCTCCACCTTAATCTCAAATACGCCGAATTTCAGACTCTGTTGTCTTCTGTGACTTTTAGCAAGGAACACCTGCTTTCCCGCTGTGTAGTACCCAGTGAATGTTAGGCTCAACCAAGGCATCTTACAGCTTTCAAGTGTCATCATTTCAGTTGTACCCACAATGCTGTAAGCAGCAGGTTTGATTTTAACAACTTTATTAAGATATGATTCAGATATCAAAAAATTCACTCATTTAATTGTACAATTCAATGGTTTTTAGTGTAGTCACAGAATTGTGCAACCATCACCACAGTCTAATTTTAGAATGTTTTTATTACCTCAAAAAGAAAACCCACACCCGTTAGCAGTCACTCCATGCTCCTTCCCTCCACCTTCAGTCCTAGATAATCACAAATCTACTTTCTGTCTCTATAGATTTTAGGCAGCAGGTTTGATGGGATCTGTTAGTCTCAGTTTCTCAACATTTGCATAGCAATCAGAAGTAACAACTGCATATACACAAACAAATCAGAACCACCCAACACTCTGCATATCTCACACCTTATTCATGCATGCAATCCTCTCCACTAAGGTATCATATATGTTTTTCGCCAACACATTCCCACCCTGACAAATGTCCTTAGTATATTATCACTTCATCTCT